CTTTCCCTCTCTCCCTCCCTCTCTGGTAAAATTTAAACAAATAAAGTTACATAAAATCTTTAAAAAAAAAAAACTGCCACCTCATCCATTTACATATTAATTATGGCTGTTTTTGTACTACAATGGCAGAGTAGTTGCACTAAAGAAAATCGGACCCTTAATGTCTAAAACAACAGATTTACTATCTGGCCCTTTATAGAAAAAAGTAGTAACTTTTAGTTAATCTAAAGGCTAGTTAGCTAAAACAAGATTTTTTCCTTCTTTTCATGGCCTTGCTGAAAAATCAAAAAATAAAGCTAAGCAAAGAGAAGAAAATATGAAAAACATATAATCTTATTGTTTTAGTGAGTTTAGGCTGTTATAACAAAAATACCATTGATTGAGTGACTTGAACAACAAATTTATATTTATGGTTCTGAAGGCTGAGAAGTACAAGATCAAGATGCCAGTTGATTTGGTTCCTGGTGAGGGACCTTTTCCTCATTTGCAGAGATAAAAATTGTTGGGAACCAGCAGATGGAGTAATGGTTACATCACTGGACTCCCACATAGTCAATTGCAGTTTGAATCCTGGACCCAGTGGCATAAAATACACTGGGTGTGTGTGTGTGCATGCGTGTGTGCCCAAAATCCTGAGAGGAGAATGGAGAAGGGATTGCAGTGTAGCCAACCCATGCTGAGGAGTAATTTCTCACTTTCTGTTTTTCTGGCAAGCACAAGTACCCTATAGCAAAAATCTCTCAAAAAAAAAAAATTGCTGTATCCATACTTGGTAGAGGGAGAGGTCATGTATCTTGTGTTTATTTTTTCCTTTCCTTTTTTTTTTTTTTAGAGATTTTTGCTATAGGGTACTTGTGCTTGCCAGAAAAACAGAAAGTGAGAAATTACTCCTCAGCATGGGTTGGCTACACTGCAATCCCTTCTCCTCCATTCTCCTATTGGGATTTTGGGCATGCACACATACACGCCTGGTGTGAATTTCAAGCTGCCAGGTTCAGGACTTAAACCATGGTCAGCCATGTGGTAGTCCAGTGCTCTGACCACAATGTCACCTGCTGGCCCTCTTGTGTTTCTTCTTATAAGGGCACTTATCCCATTTCTGAGGACTACACTCTCATGACTGAATCACCAACCAAAAGCCCCACTTCCAAGTGCCATGACATCGGAAACTACAGTTTGATTCAACATAGGAATTTTGGCGGATACAACATGTAGCCCATAGCACTTCTTTTTCTTTTTCTTTTGGAGAGGTTTTTGCTATAGGGCATGTGTGCTTGCCAGAAAGACAGAGAGAGAGAGAAAGCGAGAAATCACCCCCCCCCGGGGCGGGGATGGCCATGCCGCAATCCCTTCTCCTCCCGGGATCTTGGGCACACACACACACATGCCCAGCATGAGTTTAAGCCACCGGGTCTGGGACTTGAACCGCGATCGACTACGTGGGAGTCCAGCGACATAGTCATTACACTAACTGCTGGTCCCAGCCCATAACACTTCTATAATCTTACTACCCTAGGCCAGCTCCATAGCAAAGTGGTTAAGTGTAGTGCAGTGGGAGCTGGATACCACATGGCTGATTATAGTTCAAATCCCAGTCCCAGAGTCTTGAAAAACACACTGTGTGTTGGGACCAGCATTTGGCGTATTGGCTATGTCACTGGACTCCCGTGTAATTGACCGTGGTTCAAGTCCCAGACCCGTTGGCTTAAACTCATACTGAGTGCATGTGCATGCATGCCCAAGATCCCGAGAGGAGAATGGAGGAGAAGGGATTGGGGTGTGGCCATCCCCCTGGGGGGGGGGGGGGGTTTTTTTCTTTTTTTCTCT